TCCACTCTACAACCCTCTTTCTGGACTCTTATGATAATCGTAATGCCCTAAAATCTATTAATTTTAAACTATTCTCTTCACGAGTTGATCACAACTGGTTGTACTAGGGGACTTAGAATTTAAATTGTCAACACCTGTGATGTATTTCAAGAGGACCAAAAATCTGGGGGTTTCTATGGTCTCTGAAGCCTATTCACTTCATGGACTGAGTAGACCTGAAATATCAAGGAAAAAATGTTCCAGGAGTACCTGTTGTTAGATACATTAGGCCAAGTGTACTAATCATGACCTTATCACACACAACAGACCTGAATCCTGTCCTACTCTGTGCCATCCACATCATCTCTGATACACTTGAGCCCATTTCTGTGATCATCATATCATTCCATCTAGGTGGGGGTCTTCCTCTCTTTCACTGACCCTTCTAAATATGATATTCTTTTCCAAGGAATAGCCTCTCCTAGGAACATGTCCTAAGTATGAGAGATGAAGCTTTGCCACCCTTGCTTGTAAGAAGCACACTGGCTGTACTTTTTTTGGATATATTTGTATGTTCTTTTGGCATTCCATTCAGTACTCTTTTCCAAGACCACAACTCAAAGGTATCATTCTTTTCTCATTCTTAAATATCACCCAGCTCTCTGATACACAAGTAATTAGAAAGACCATGGCCTGAATCAGGCACACCTCAACCTTCAAGTTGGCATCACTGTTCTTCAGAATTTTCGAGAGGTCCCTTAGAATAGACTTGCCCAAAGCAAAATGTCTTCTTAACTCCTGACTGCTGATACAAAGGATGTTGGTTGTGGATCCAAGCAAGATGAAATCATTAACTGTCTAGTGCTTTTCCATCTATCATCATACTGTCCGCTCTATAGACAGGACTTGGCGTATAAACAACCCATGGATCCATGGTTAAGCACTCAAATACTACCCAAAATGTTGTGGTACAAACCCACCTAGAGACCCTTTGTAAAAAAAGGCACGGTGATCTGTTCCCTAAAAGTCACAACAATACAAATTCTATGAAACAATTCTACTTGGCTTTCATAGTGTTATCAAGAGTTGGCATCACAGTTAGATTTTTTTTTATTAGTTTGGTCTTAGTGGTATAACTCTGAGATAATGTGTTCCTACACAGTTTTCAAGTGAATCTCAATATAATTAAGCTCGAGTTCATGTATTGGCTGTCTTCCTGTCTCTGCCTTGATGCCCCCTCCCACGTCATCATCTTCCAGGATCAATTTCAAATAAAGTACCTGCAATCTGATCTTTGTCTTAGGGTCTGTTTCTAGGACAAAATAGAGATGAGAACAAGGAGAGCAACATCCACCATTCCCTGGACCTGCTTCAGTACAAATAAAGGTATTGAGGGAATTCCTGGGTCACACTATGAAGTGCTAGGCTGCTAACTGAAACCTTGGCTGTTTCCAATTCACCCACAATCACTTCAGAAGAAAGCCCTGATGATCATAAACTTGAAAACCTCATGGAGCAACTGTACTCTGAAATCTGGTTTCATATGTTGAAATCAAGTTGCTCGAAGCAGGCTTTGTTTTATTGCACTAAGCTACTGACATTTTGCTGAAATATGCCAATTGGTATTCCTTCCATTCCTGGGTCTTATTTTTTGCCAATTCCTTCAGAGCAACAAGAACTGCCTCTTCATCACCATTGTGTTTAGATCATATGTTGTTTCATTAAATTCTTCTGTGTCAGCCAATTCTTCCTGGTACAGTGACTCTGTGTACTCCTTCCCTCTTCTTTTGACGTTTCCTGGATCATTCAATATCCTGTCGATAGCATCCTTAAGTGTTGCAACTTGAGACTTGAAATTGTTCTTCAGTTCCTTCAGCTTAACAGATGCTGAATAAATTTGTCCCTTTTGATTTTCTGACTTCAGGTATTCACATATTTCTTTATAATTCTCTGCTTTGTCTTCCTGAGCCCCTCTTTGAAATCTTTTTGGCTCCTTAATTTTCTGATGTCTTCCCTTTGGCTTCTCACTGTTGTAGTGCAACTCAGAGCCTCTTCTGAGATCTGGCTCAGTTTTTTCTTTCTCCTCTATCTTTACAATGATCTTTTGCATTCCTACCACAACTCATTTGGTCTTCATTCATTAGTGTTCAAGGCCTCAAACTTGTTTTTGAGATGGTTTTGAAATTCAGATGGGATAGACTCAAGTTTAAATTCTGGTTCTTGTGGATTTGTTTTCATTTTCTTTAGCTTCAGCTTGAACTGACATATGAGAAGTTGATGGTCTGTGGAACAATCATCACCTGGAATTGCTTTCACAGTTGATAACTGAGCTTCTTCAACAATTCTTTCCACAGATATAACCAATTTGATTCCTGTGTAATCCATCACTTGAGGTCCATGTGTATAGTCACTATTTGTGTTTCTTATAAAAGATATTCGCAATGAATAAACCATTGGTTATAAAAAATTCTATTATTCTATCTCCAGCCAAGAGGTAGAATGTCCCCAAGTCTATGTTTTACAACTACGATCCTTCTTCCCTGTTGCCAACTTTTGCTTTCAAGTCAACCATTATTTTTTTTTTTTTATTTTGTGTGCGTGTACCGTCAAATCAGATCTGACTGGTACAGGAGGATATTGCGCCTCCTTCTCCGGCAGAGCATCTGGTGGATTCGAACTCTGTTCCTCTGGGATTGCAGTGCAGCTTCTTGCCACTAGGCCACCAGAGCTCCCCTAACCATTATTATTAATGGAAATGCTTCAATAAAAAAATACCGTCCTGGACATGCTCACCAGGTTGTGCCAAGAAATCTGGAGGATAACTACCTGGCCAACTGACTGGAAGAGATTCGCTTTTACTCTCATTCCCCCCAAAAAGTGATTCAACAGAGTGTGGAAATATATATGGAGAGAGAGAGAGAGAGAGTATGTGTGTGTGTGTGTGTGTGTGTGTGTGTATATATGTGAATATATATAGTATGTATGTGTATATATATGTGTGTGTATATATGTATATATGTGTATATATGGGAATATATATAGTATGTATGTGTATATATATATGTATATATATAGTATGTATGTGTATGTGTATATATATCTCGCACGTTAGTAAAACCCTACTGCAGATTATCCAAAAATGACTTGAACAATGCATCAGCAGAGAAGTACCAGAAATACAACCTGGGTTTAGAAGAGGCCTTTACACTAGGAAAATCATAGCCAATGTCAGATTGATCTTGTCTGAAATCAGGAAGTACCAGAGGAATGTCTACCTGTCTTTCATTGACTATGCAAAGGCATTTGACTGTGTGGATCTTAACAAACAGTGACTAACCTTGAGTAGAATGGGAATCCCAGAACACTTGATTGTGCTCATGTGAAACCTATGCTTGGACCAGAAACTAGTCATCAGAACAGAGCAAGAAAATACTCCGTGATTCAAAATTAGGAATCAGTCTCTCACTTGCTTTGATAATAGGCCTCAGAATACCTGGATCTTGTTCAAAGTTTAACAGGAAGAGAGCTAAAATGAGGACCCTCTGCTTCCCCCTACACCCTCACCTCTGATTATGGAGAGATTTGTTTATGACAAGGACTTAATTTGGTTGAAATATCTTACCTTGTTCTCAGTTTTATCAATTCCCACGAGGAAGAGCAGGTGGGCCAGGAAGAGGCAGATGGAGAGCTGCAGGTGCAGCGAGGTGCTGGTGTTCTGGATGGGCCGGCACAGCAGGAAGGTGAGGGCCGCCAGGAGGAGGCACAGCAGGGAGAGGCTCAGCCCCACGTGGGTGATCATGGTCAGTGTTGGATCTGCCTGTGAGCCGTGAAGGAGAAATCTTGTTAAGGTTTTCAACACAGCAGTTATGGCTATAACGGTGAGTTAGATGCTATTCCAAGCTCAGTGATCCCTAGGACACATTACTTAACCTCTCTGAGACTTTGTCGCTCCATCTTCAAGACGATTAAAGTTGCAGAATCGTTAAACCCTTGACTTTGTGATTACGAAGATGTAGCAGTTTAAATCCATTCAATGAATCCACAGAATAAAGACCTGGTGAGCTGTTGCCAAGCGTTACAGCCTACAAAATCCTACAGGACAGTTCTATTTGGCCACAGGAGGTCACTAAGAGTCAAAATGGACTTAATGGATGGGAAGACTCAGGGCAAAAAGTGTAATGATGGGCAAGGTCCAACGGTGATTGATTTTAGAAAACTTAATGCATTAGAATGATTGTATGAAATACAACGTGAATGAAGAATAACGTGAAGCACAATGTATATGAACTTTGTAAGCAAACCAATTTAAAAAATGAACTTAATGGAAACGAAATCACAGCAATGACTATGTCCACACACGTACTCATTGCCATTTAGTCATTACTGAGCTTCCAGTGAGTTCTCAGAGGCTATAAATTGCACAGGAGACTGTCTTTCTCCAGGGAGCAGCTAGAAGTTCAAACCACCTACCTTTGTGTTATCAGTGCAACTGCTTACCCTCTCGGCCACCAGACCTCCCTATTAGGGAGATGTAAACCAAAATCACAATAAGCTACTATCTCCACCCAGTAACAATAGTAAAGTTTAGCAGTCTTGGATGAATCTCAATACCTGGGGTGTTAGAGCCATGAGGACAGCAAAGCTGGACAGATGAAAGCACTGGCATCTGGTGTAAGAGTCGTTGCTGCCCAGATAAGAGCAGCCCTTCGTGGACCAGCTGCCCCCCTCCTCAGATTCTTCCCAGGAGATGCAGAAATATTTTGCTCTTGCTTCAGGAGGCTGGAACAAGAAGAACATAGAAGTAGTTCTCTTTCTGTTTGATGATTTGAACATTTGAGGCTAAACACAGGTGGTCTGAGGTGGAGTCTAGGTCAGGAGAATCTCACGATCTTGAAGACTCATGGGGAAGAGTTTTACACTATGCTCTGTGCGATAGGGTTTATTCTTCATTAACTCTGCCATCTTCTGTCCCTCTCAACGTCCTACACATTGACCCTTATGAACTCTTTCACCAGGTTTCTTGTTGGCTGGCTCTGTTCTACCACCGATAAGACCAAGATGGAAGATTATTGGAAAATGAAAAAGAGAAAGAATTCCGGTGTATCCATTTCTCGATACACTACTTGCTCTTGAGGAAGACCCTCAAAGGGCTGTGTCAACACTGTAATTACCACAATGGCCTCTAGTGTGACAGGGCTCATGAAGATGGTTAAGTTGTCCATGGGGTTATTAGGAGTTTGTAGTCAACTCAACAGAACCTAACAACATCAACAACAACAATGCCCTCCCTATGTTATTGTTACGTTATGGTGATTTACATGTTGCTCTGATGCTAGAAACTATCCTACCTGCATTTCAAACTATCAGCCTGGTAGATTGTTTCCAATGGAGCTTCGAGACTAAGAGCTGGAAGAAAGGCCTGGCAACCTTTGGACATAGTAGTCAGTTGCCATCAAGATGGCCCCATGTATAACAGGACAAAACACTGTGTGGCCCTATGCCATTTTCATGATCTACGAAATGGTAATTTTTTTGTGTGGATATTATGTCACTTCATCTTATTCCCTTAACCAATGCAAACATGGCAATCAAAAAATATTGTGCAAAACTAACTCACTCACTTTCACTGTGTCATACAGAAAGACCAATCATGTTTGGTAAGAAAGAAGGCCAGCAAAGAGGAAGGAAATCTTCAGTGAGATGGACTAACACAGTGGCCACAGCAATGAAATCAGGCAAACTAATGATCAACTTCCTAAAATGTTATTTATTCACTGACGACCCTGTGGAGCTCAGTTCAACTCTGTTACTCATGGGGTCTCCCTGACACAAAGAGCACAACTTGAATTGGTTTTTGGTTTTTTTTTTTAATAGAACCAGTCCTTGATTTTACTTACCTGAATATGTTCCAATGTCAAGAACATAGGTTGAGAGAGGTATGTTTTGTTCTTCGAACCAATGGTGCTGCTTACAACCCTAGAATTTAATTTTACTTCCTGTAATCCATTTCTGTCATTGAAAAAGGTTCCATTGAGAACACATTCAAGATCCTGATAGACTATCAGTGCAATAGCACTCTGACCTGTGACCAAAACGAGAAACATTTTAAAAGGTCTTGAGTAAAAAAAGAAAGGGGGGATAAAAAGAAAAATAGATGATAAGTAAGTACTTCGCTAGTGTCTTCTTTAAGAGTAAAAGTTAACATAATGTACAATCAAAACTGCTTAGAAAACCCCTTAAGTTGTCATGAAATATGAGGCATGTGGTTTTGGGTGTAGCGTTTTTTTGAGGAGAGTAGCATTTTGTATTCAGTCTCAAGCCTTTGTCGGTAACTCAGCGTTGGGAACTATATAGATTTACAAAATGTACAGCACATTATAAGAGGTATGTATGAAAAACGGGTAAATTAATATGCTGTGAAACTATCTATAAATCCATAAATGTCAGTCATGACGAAAGAAACTTGCCTTCAGAGGACTTAGTGAATTTCAAAAGGGGTTGAGAAAAAGCACACATTTTTTTATTGTATCTCAAATTCACTGTGAGGATCTACAGAAAGGTGTGCAGGAGCACTCACACCATTATTATTTTGCTTTCTCCTTTCTCTCTCTGTCTCTGTACACACACACACACACGAATCATCTCTATCCTATTTATTTTTTCCCATTTACTGTCTGTCTCCTTTTTCTCTCTCCTCTCTATTTCTTCTACCAATACTGTCTCTCTTTTTTTCCTTTACCCTCACCATTTCATTGTTTGTGGTGTACCATAGAGTCAGAACTGACCCATAGCTGACCCTCCAGTTAGTTTTCAGAGGCAGTTAATTACACAGGAGGAGATTGTCTATCTTTCTCCTGCAGAGCAGTTGGTGAATTCAAAATGTGAGCCTTTGGGATTGCAGTGCAGCTTCTTATGACTAGGCCACCAGAGTTCAACCTTAAAATCAATTCCATTTAGACTGTCTCCTCTTCACTTTCTTTCTCAAGTTCACAGTTAGGAGCAGGGAGATCAGTCAGTAGTAGTAGCTGAAAATTTTCCAGAGGAAATTTTGCAGATATTTCAAGTCTTCCTTGCTATTTTCTATTCATTTGGCAAATATGTGTTGAGCACTTACTGTATGACAAGCAGTATTTTAGGCATTGCAAATACAACAGTAAACTAAGCAGAGTCTTTATCAGAAAGTTGGCATCATAGTGTGAGAAGTAAACAATTAGTAAATCAATAAACTGGGAAATTATCATAAGTACAAGTTTTCTAAATCTGGGGAAAATTTAAAAGATAATAACAAATGTTAGTCCTTATCAACACGCGAAAGTCAAGGCAACCAGAGACAACCTTTAAGTAAATAGTTAGGCTGTTGTTATGCGCTGTGGAGTCAGAACTGATCTATCGCTGACACTCCAGGGGTTTTTCAGAGACCACAAATCACATAGAATGAGATTGTCCATCTCTCTCCTGTGGAGCGGCTGGTGGATGTGAACCACATGTTTTGGGGTTGGCAATTCAATTCCTTACCACTAGACCACCGAAGGTCCTTTAAAAATATCTGTATTTTGTTTGTTGATGGGATCTTAGGTTGTTTACAACTTCCTGCTATTGTGAACAAAGCTGCAATAAACATGGGTGTACATATATCTGCTTGGATGTCAGTTCTGGTCTCTTTGGGGTATATTCCCAGTAGTGGAATTCCTGGGTCAAATGATATCTCTATTTGTAACTTTTTGAAAAAGCACCGTACCACCTTCCACAGTGGTTGCACCATTTTACACTGCCACCCATGGGTTCCAGTGTCTCCACAACCTCACCAGCATTTGTTGTTTGCTGTTATGTTAAATTCTGCTATTTTTACTGATGTGAGATGATATATCACAGTTGTTTTGATTTGCATCTCTCTTAGAGCTAGGGATTTTGAACATTTCTTCATGTGCTTGTTAGCCATCTGAGATGTCTTCTTTGGTGAAGAGAAGCTATAGTATATTCACACACTGGAATACTATGCTGCATTGAAAAACAAGGAACTCATGCAATATTATTCCAAATGGGTGACCCTGGAGGACATTATGCTGAGTGAAATATCTCAGCACAAAAGGACAAACACTGCATGGTGCCACTGTTGTAAAACAGGACTGACCTGAGGGTTGGGGGGA